ATTGGACCGCAACGCTTGCGACACTCTTGCGACGCGCAACGTTTCGATGTGACTAATGTAGAACCAGCTTAATGATCCAATCAGCAAATTAAAATTAACCATATATGTGAACGTGTACATTATTTTCAGCTTGAACCTGGATGTCTTCTTCCTCCGCCAAGTGCATTGAAAAGTAAAATATTGATAAAAAATAAACGATTGAAGCCAGAAGTGGAAAAAATCGAGCTCGAGCTTTTCCGCGCCGGACAATTCGAAGACAAGGATGAAGTGGTAGAAGATGCCAGTGCACCCGCAGCTGTTCCACCTCCAGAATCAGAGCCACCGAAGGTGATTAACATTAATGAATTTTCAAAAGTTAAATTTCATTTTATCTTTCTCACTCTTTTTGAAAAATTAACAATTTTACACATTACCTTTGATACGTTGTGCAGGAAGGCGAAGCTTTTGCCGGAGGCGAAGGTACTGAAGAGGTACAAGCGATCCAATACACGGGCAGTACAATGCAAGTTCATCCTTATCTCTCGGCAATGATAAACTACGCGCAGCCAATAAAGTTTCAGAGTTTCGAAGCTGCACAGAGTACGTGATACCATTTATCGAAACATTCTACTTATCAGTAATTGTATAATAATTATATAGTTAAGATGATCAACGTATAAATTTGTGATAACTTTAAGAATTTATGAAAATCATTTTTAACATTGGAGCATTAACGACAGAAATCAGTCAACACATCAGAAATAAAAAATAAAGTAAATAAAACTTCACTTCTAAAATAAAAAAAACTTCACAAGTTTTTATTTTCGTGTTAAAAGTGATTTTATTATACCGACGGTATCGTTTTGATTAAAATGAATAAACACGATATAATTTAAATAATTTTCACAATTTTAAAAATATTTTTTACCTCGCATCTCACTTGCTTTTACATTTTTTCGCTTCTTTTGAAAAAAAAAAATAAACAAAAGAAAATTCTATACTAGTCCTACTGTTAAAATTATTGTCTATGTATATTTACTCCTTTTTTGGAAACTTCTAAGATATTGTAAAATCATGCAAAGATTTTATCCAGCGAATACGTGAATCTGTAAATGCGTGAAATTTAATATTATACTTTCTTTCTTGCGATGAGTTTTGTGTGCCATATATGTCTTAAATTTACCGGGGTAGCGGGTGTTTATGTGGTAGTGCGTACGTCCTGGAGACTTAAGGAGAGTTAAATGAATGAGCGTACACGTGCGCACGTGTCGCGCGCGCGACATGTACTAATGTCTCGACCCCGACGTTGCAGGCAAGAATATACATCATAATATGTCTTCGTTCTCCGAGACTGCCGCTCTTAACTATCTGAAAACTCACTCCGTGGAGTTCGTTAATTACAACAAGCGGCAAATGAGTCGAATATATCCAAAGGGCACGAGGGCTGATTCGTCGAATTACATGCCCCAGGTAACTGCGACGATACACAAACGCGTTTAGATTTCCCGCAGAGTTATTACTCATGTTATATCTCTGCATAGAAAGAACGGTTTTAATATATCTAAAAATTTAGCTAGATACAAATCTAAAAATAATTTTCTTGTACTCAAAATAATTATGATTATTAAGTTAGAATGTTGATATTTTTTTTGCAACATTGCTGAGCGTATTTGAGTTACTTATATAATTATTTTAATAGTTCAATAAAATTATTTCCAGATCTTTATTTACAATATTTAAATTTTTAAGATTCTCAGCAAAAGCGTTTTTTTTTTTATTGTCTAATAATATATATACGAACTGTAATCGAAAGTCACACGTTTTTTCATTAAATATTATTTTAAGAATGACCATCTTGTTTTACATATACTTGTTTTATGCGAGGTATTCTCATCTACTTAGGTCTTTTGGAACGCCGGCTGCCAGATGGTGGCTTTGAATTTCCAAACTCCTGATTTGCCGATTCAGCTCAATCAGGGAAAATTCGAGTATAACGGTACGACGGGTTATCTGTTAAAACCGGACTTCATGCGAAGACCCGACCGAAGCTTCGATCCCTTTTCCGAGGACGTTGACGGTATCATCACCGCGCAATGCGCGGTTCAAGTTATAGCCGGGCAATTCTTGTCGGATAAGAAGGTGGGCACGTACGTAGAGGTAGACATGTACGGTCTACCAGCAGACACGATCAAGAAGGAATTCAGAACACGGATGGTGCCGGCGAACGGTCTGAATCCGGTCTACAATGAGGAACCGTTCTTGTTCCGGAAGGTCGTGCTTCCCGATTTAGCAATACTCAGATTTGGTACTAATACCTCTTTCTTTACGTGGATATCTATTATAATATAAATTTGAAGTAAATAAATGTTGATGTCTACAACTCAAATATTTTTCAATCGTTATGTTTCATTTCCGGCAGGTGTGTACGAAGAAAATGGTAAATTGCTCGGACAACGAATCTTACCTTTGGACGGCCTCCAGGCTGGCTACAGACACATCTCCTTGAAGACCGAAGCGAACTTCCCGATGGCGTTGCCCATGCTCTTCTGCAATATAGAGTTGAAGATTTACGTCCCCGATGGATTCGAAGGTAGTATCCCAGCGGCTCAAAAATAGTAGCACTCTTCACGGCGTTCTCTCACAAGCACGCCTCCAATTTCAGACTTTATGGCCGCCTTGTCGGATCCGGGTGGTTTTAGCAAGGCCGCCGAGAAGCAAACTGAAACGATGAAGGGACTCGGAATAGAACAGACCGATACTAAAAAGAAGAAAGAAGAAGAAGCGAAGAAGGGTAACAAAATTATGTATAATTATATTTTTATATTGAAAAATAATGATTCAATTAAATGGTAAGAGAACAAATTGCACCAAATATTATTTAATTGTTACACTTGTGACATGTATACAATTTTTACATAATTTCAGCAGAGACATTGAAACTGGAACCTATTACGTTAGAATCCTTAAAAAAGGAGAAAGGTTTTAAAATAGGCAAAAAGCATCAGAAAGAATTGGATACTCTAAAAAAGAAACACGCTAAAGAGAGGCAAACTATGCAGAAGAATCATTGCAATGCCATCGAGAAATTAACTAAAGGAAAAGAGTGCGTTGAAGTTTTTACTTCAATGTAATTCTATCGCATGAAGAAAATTTGAGAAATTTAGAATATTATATTTAATATTATATATAAGATATTTCAGAATTTAACGGACAAACTACGGGAACGTATTCTATAAGTGAAAATAGAAAAAAAATGTTACTTATGTGAAATTTGATTAGAAATTCTTTATTATAAAGTTATAAACAAATATTAAAACGAAATATGAAAAAAGAAACAACGTATTTTCCATTGCGTAGAATATAAAAGTGTACTTTGTGTATTTTGTGTATGGAAAGATAAAAGATGTTAGATTTCCATCGTCATAAAACAATAACTGCCATAAAATATCAATATTTTATCAAAATACCACCAAAATGTTCCGTTTCAATATTTGTTTATAATTTCGCAATAAAGCATTTCTAGCTAAACTTTATATAATATTTTTTTCTTATATTTCTTTTGATAGAACAGGGTCCTACAGTTGTCCGTTAAATCATGAGACTCTGTTATTTAATGTACATGATATTTTTAGCAAAAATACTCTGGCGCAAGATGCGAATGTCAAGAAAATTATAAGTGGACAAACAGCTCAATGGTCCACCATAATGGAAAAGCAGAGGAAGGAGGAATGGGATTTATTGAAAAATCAGACACAGAGCTCTCGTGACGAGTTAAAGAGACTAATCGAGATTGTGCAAGCTACACAAATTAAACAATTGCAGGCAAAGCACGACAAGTTGGTTCACATTATTTATTTTTGTTATTTGGGAAATAAGTTTTAACATTTTTTGCCATATCGTTTAAATACGTTAATTGTAGAGACATAAAGGATTTGAATACCAATCAAGCGAAAGCGTCCGTGGAAATGGCGAAAGAGGTGATGAATGATAAGACTTTGAAGACAAAGGGTGAGAAGGACAGGCGACTTCGCGAAAAGAAGCAGCAGAATACGAAGAAATTCGTGGAAGAGAGAAAGACTATAGAAATCAAACAGGGTCGTGAGAAAGAGAAGCTGAAGGCTACACATGAAAAACAAGTAGAAGAATTGGACAAGGACATCAATATAGTAAGTTTGAGATAGCTCTTCGTCCTAATGGTCTTTTTTAATAATATATCGGATTTTCCAGTAAGTAAGTTTGTGGAACGTGGAAGATAGCAGCATTCTTTTCTTGGTTCTCTTTAGAGTTTACAAATTAAGTTTTAACGGCTTAAAAATTAATTTCTTTATTGAATGAAGAAAAAACATACAATTCTTATTATTTTATTGTTTAATGCTCGCGAATAAAAAAAACGTGTAATAAATATAACGAAAATAATTGTTATTTTTATTTATAAAATTAATGTAATTTTGTAAAATAATACACATTCATTCGATAATGTTGCAGAGTATTGAAATGTACGAGAATGAAGTGGTTGAATACAACTTATCGTCTAAGGCGGAATTCTATATATAATTTTTCTTAACATTTCTAATTATTTCTGTTATCATTTGTTAATATTATTTTCTATTTTATATTATATATATATATATATA